CTTGGCACCGTAGTCACTCATACTGCAGCGACAATGTAGAAAAGTATACTTGCTAGCAAAATCATTGAAGTAAATTACAGTACTTACTACTATTTTCCAATAGTATTCCTCGTTGAAATAATAGCAATTGTATTGTCCATTTGGATGTACAAAAAACTTGGAACTAGAATCAATTCAATAATAAACGGTATTTTAATCGCAATTGGTTTAATTATTGCGACATTCAATGCAGCCAACACTTCATATCTCGTTTATATTACTGGAACATTCATTGGTGTTGGATATATTATGTGTAATTTGATGAATCCATTATATATTTCTCATATTTCAATGTCAAATACAAGAAATTCATATGGAATATTCCATTTTATTGGTTTAGTAATTGGATCCATAAGTGGTTTTCGTATTGCAATATCTCCACATTGGAAAATTTTCTCATACGTTTATGCAGCCATCTCAATCATACAATCCATTCTTACTATCTTCATTCCTAACATGACTCCCGAAACTTCCGAAGAATTACAAGCTCCAAGAAACGTTAAACTTTGGTTCCATACAGCTGCATTAACGTTACTTCCATTTTTGTCTGGATTAAATGCAGTACCTAGGTACTGTGCTCCAATAGTACATGATCATTCAGTTGTTGATCAGGTTAACATAGTTAACATTGTTTTTTATGTATTAACGTTGATAACAATTATAACAATCATATTTACGATTTATTTCTTTGGATTAAGGAAGCATTGGATAGTTTCCTCTATTTTTGTATTAGTTTTCTTAATAATTGTTACAATATTAAATTTCATGAACAAATCTAACATATTTAGATTTATAATGGGAGATCTTTTTAATATAAGTATGAACTTGGGTTTAAGCAGCGTTGGCCTCTCTCTTATTTGTCAATTTTCAGATAATCTTATTTTCTTTTCTCAAATTCTTAACATTGTTTGCGAGTCTTTGATTGACACTATCCATATATTTCTCTTCAGTAAGATTTGGCTCATCATTTTTATTGTTTTTGGCATATTTACAATTGTATATGGCTTTACATTGTTCCCAGAACTAAAGAACATACAGGAAGAAGAAAAATCAAAGTCAGACAATCTGAATACTCCAATTATTTAAACAATTTTTTAGCGAATTTATTAGATTTTTTTAGATTTTTTTATCAAAATTTTTTCATTAATGAAACAATACATTCTATTTAAAGCGGTTTTAAGATTTTTCTCAATTTTTCAATATGGATCCAATGTCAGAAAAATGTATCGTTGTCAAATTTGACAATTATGGGAATCTTATTGAATAAGCAATTATATTATGTAGGAGTTGTATTCGTTGGATCAGCATTAAGTGCGATTGCAAATTGGAAGAGTGTTCCTATATTTTTTCTTTCAGGCCTCTCACTGAATCAATATATTTTAGCTGCTATAGTTTTACCAATAACCATCATCACACTTGTTTCCTCTATATTTACTTACAGGAAATTCGGAACAAAATTTATTTTAATTGCTGCAGGTATTTCAAATTCAATCGCTCTTGTATCAAAAGCTTCAATATCTAAGGATAACGTTTTTGCTGCTTTTGTTGTCATTGCCTTTCAATTGATAGCCGCAAATATCCATTTATTGATGAATCCTTTGTACATTTCGCATATTTCGCCAGAAAATACAAGAGATTCATACGGAATCCTTCATTTTGTTGGTATTATATTTGGAACATATATCGGAAACCATACATTATACACATCTCACAGAAAAATTTTTTTATACGTTTTTGCATCCATTTCTTTGATCCAAAGTATACTTATTTGGTTTATTCCGAACATAACTCCTGAAATAACAGCAAGATCAAACGCTTCTAAAGAGAAAAAATACATTTTTCATTCAATTCTCTTAATTTTAGCTCCATTAATAATCATTGTTGACATAGTCATATCAAATGCAACCCCAGAACACATATCTTCTTACAAAATAATCCAAGTTAATAATATTCTTCAAATAATTATTAGTATTATTCTCATTTCTATTGCTTTTTCAATTTATTTCTTTGGATTAAGAATACATTGGATAATTTCATCCGCCTTTTCCTTGATTTTCCTGATAATTTGTTCAATTTTAGCTTTCACGGGCAAACGAAACATGTTTAGCTATGGAGTAGCAAGTGGTAACACTATAAGTCTATTCTTAGGTCTTAACAGTGTAGGATTATCATTGATTTGTCAATTTTCAGATAATTTAATTTTCTTCTCTCAAATATTATATTCAATTTGTTCTGAAATAACACAAATAATTTATATTTATAGTCGAAGCAAAATTTGGCTTATTGTTTTCGTAATCTTCGATATTCTCTTCATTATTTATGGAATAGTTCTGTTCCCAGATTTAAAGGCAAACAAGGAGAAAGAAAAATATGAATTAGATGCTATGACTACTCCAATAATTTGATTTTTAATAAATACTAAATCATTTTAAATATAATTAAATATTTTTTTGATCAATAAGTACAATTTATGTATGCTTTGATTCAAGTGCGTGAATATCAATAGTATAAATACAATAAAATATAAAATAACAACTATATAACTTGTCTATTTGGAAGATATGGGGATATCCAACGATGCATCATGGAGTGAAATATATTGCTTTATTGAGGAATCAAGCAAGTATTACCCTTGGACAGTACTAAATGAAATGTATACAGAGGAATTGTTGAGTTCCTAAGAAATAATAATTCAAAACTTTCTTATATATATAATAATTTGTTATTGGAAGACTTAATTTGACAGAATGAAGTTTTTTTACGGAAACTTTGATGGAGACCTTCATTAATTTGAAGGAATGAAATCAAATTTCATCAGTATGACAATAATTTCTGACGAACAATACTAATAAATTAACGATATTGAACGAATATCAAACGCCAGAAACTAAAATTTTAAAATTTTTACTTAATAATTTTGACGAAATCATATTAATCTTGTTAAATCTACATAAACTTTACAATACAAATGTATGTCACTACATATCAATGATATGTTTTATCTTTTTGACAACAAAATTTCCGAACTCAAGAAAAATGAACGAATTACGTAAACGAAAATGTCTAATATTACATTATTAAGTGAATCTAAATCGATATTTCACAATAATACTCGTAATATGGATGAATATTTTGAAAATTCAAAAGATAATTTTTCTGAAAGAAATGAAAAAAAAATCAAATTAAAATATAATTACAAATATGAAAATGATAAGAAAAATTTACTTGCAGGTGATGAATTTAGAATTGAACTTACAGAACCAACTAAGAAAACGATTCCAGATAAAAACAATGTTTGGGTTGTTTATTATACTGTATATAATCCTCCAGGTAATTCTGTGGAGATAAAATTTTATATTGATTCAGAATTAAAAAGAACAAAAAATACTAATCCAATTGCTAGAACATTTGATTCAGATGTATCGATTTATATTTCCGATTTAGATTATGGTGATCACATATTAACTGCACAAGCTAAGAGTGATAATCAATTAACTAATATTGATTCTGTTGTAAACGAAAACGATAAAAACGGTTTGACAGTAAAGTGACACTTTACATGGCAAAAATAGAGCCTTACTTTTGAGATACTTGAGATTGAAACTGAATCTTATGAGGCGGTGATCTTGAATCACTACCTCATAAGGTTCAGTTTCATATAAAATTTGTTGCAATTTGTTATTCTTTTGCAATTATTTCTTATAAGATTTTACATCTTTTAGCGGGAATGTTTGTTATCATGTATATATTATAAATATCTACACGATAACGAACATTCCTCGCTAAATTGCTGAGAAACTTTGAGGAAATGTCGAACAATTTCCTCAAAGTTTCTCAGATTTATATAGATCACTAGAGTCCCCTAGGCACTGATTCTGGTTCAGTACCTAGGAGGCTCTAGTTCTTTAACGAACTGATAAAATGTTTTTAAATTTTTGGATATTGCTACCTGTGAAGCACTGACTTCAAGTCAGTACCTCACAGGTAGCAATTACATTGAAAGATGGGAGAAACTTTGTCCGAATGTTAAACTATTCGGACAAAGTTTCTCCCATTTGTAGTGGAGATGGAAGGCTTTGAGGTATATTGTATTAATATATACCCCAAAGCCTTCCATCTCCACTTGAAAGTGTCCAAACTTTGGGTTAATAGTTTGCAATTAACCCAAAGTTTGGACACTTTCTAGAAGGAATTGGAGGGTAAGAGATATACATTCATATGGTATATCTCTTACCCTCCAATTCCTTCTTAAAATGGGAGAAACTTTGTCCGAATGTTAAACTATTCGGACAAAGTTTCTCCCATTTTAAGAAGGAATTGGAGGCTATGAGATACTGATGAAATGTCAGTAACTCATGGCTTCCAATTCCTTCCTAAAACTCATAAAAGTGGACATTACATGCATATAAAATTTGACATGTAAAGTCCACTTTTTGCGAGCGGGGATTTGACGGAGTCAAATCCCCTTTTTCGTTTACGAGAATTCTTTAGAATTTGCAGTTGGATATTCAAATAAACTTACTCTATCTAATTTAGGTTTAAATCCAACAAAAATTATAAAGAACAGTGGTCAGACATTGACATTATCAGGAATTGCAAGTTATCCAAATGGAGAATCAACAGCTCTCATTAAATATTACTTCAACGAAGATAATAACACTCAAAATCAATACGAAGTTCAAGTCGATTCAAATGATGAAACTTTCACTAAACCAATCACTTTTCCAAATGATTTACCAGAGAACAATCACACAATTCATATTTATTTATTAAAAGATGGTTTTAATAGCAAAACATATAATCTTTCATTCGAATACATTTATAATCCATCAATTATCAGTATCACAACAGCTCCTAAGTCATCATACACAAAGAATACAGATTACAACATCTTTGTTACTTTATCTGTTTCAGATCGTGATGGCAATGAACTAATTGATATTTACTGCCAATTTGACAGTGAAACAGCAACTAAGAAGACATCACAATCAATAGTAGTCAATGAAATAAATACAAATTATGATTTTGATTTCACAGTTAAAATTCCATCATCATTCTCAGAAGGAACACATATAATTTATATTTGGGCTGTTGATTCTAATCAAAAAGACTCAAATCATTTGCATTATCAATTTGATTTCAATTACAACACACCATCAATTTCTATAACAACAGAAAACAATCAACAAATTCGAAAAGGAATAAATAATCAAATTGAAATCAAAGGAAGTGTCACTGATCTTGATGGAAGTGGAACAGTTACAATAAATTACATTATTGATGACAATGGTTTAGAACGACTTGTTGAAAGAATAACAATTTATAATACATCATCTCATGAATTCAATAAAAACATCGATATTCCATCATACTTGAATGAAGGAATTCACAAAGTCACAATTTATTGTTATGATGAAAGCCTTAAGAAATCAAATGAAGAAAACATTAATTTCATATATATATTCAACAATCCATCTCTCATTGTCAACAAAGAACCTCTGTCTACATACCACAACAAAATTGATAGAAATATCACAGTCTCAGGAACATTCACAAACGAAAACAATGCAGAACATATTTACTTCTTCTATGTCATCGACAACAGTTCTCGACATAATATTGAAGATGTTACAATTACAAATGAACATGAATTCACATTTTTTGTTCCGTACCGAAAAGGGTCACTAGAAAAGTGACAAAAAGTGACACCTACTCTTATTTTCGCGCCAAAATTCGAAAGGGTTTTTAATATAATAATTATAATATATAAGGAATTTTATTAAAAATATGAAATTAAAATATAAAAAATTTAATAGTTAATTTAAGTTTGTTTTTTATTTTTATTTTAGAACTGTTTTCATAGGAATTAAAGGGTGAGAGGTATATAGTATGCCTATATACCTCGCACCCTTCAATTCAAACTCTAAATGGGAGAAACTTTGTTCGTATGTTATCTTATGAAAGCAAAGTTTCTCCCATTTAGAAAGTGAATAGGAGCCTACCAGGCACTAATACATAATCAGTGCTTTGTAGGCTCCTATTCCCTCGAGAAAGTTCGAAAACTTGGTCGCAATCAGATGCAATTGCGACCAAGTTTTCGAACTTTCTGGTAGGAATTGAAGGGTGAGAGGTATATAGTATGCCTATATGCCTCTCACTCTCAGATTACATTAACGTACATAAAAAAATATTTTTAGATTGATTTTTACTAACCTGAACCTCGGAGTAACGAGGTATTCGTAGATATGATGTAGACTATTGTTTTAAACTGTAAGCTCGGAAATTTTTGTTAGATAACTTAGCATTCGAAGTCACTTTTTGAACTTTCTGCGCAAAACTGTAGCCTCGGAGTACCGAGGTATTCGTAGATATGATGTAGGCTATTGTTTTAAGCGGTAAGCTCGGAAACTTTTGTTAGATAACTTATCATCCAAATCTACGATTTGCAATGAATCATCAGTAAGTAAATAGTTGTATTAAAAAGATGTAAATACGATAATATTAAGTGTTTATTCGTAATGATTTGAGAATTTGTTGAAAATTTATTGAACTTGCTCGAGATTTTCATTTTCTGAACTCGTCAATGCTTTCCTTAAGGTTTTTTAATTGACCGTCGACTATCTAGAATGGTTCTTGTTCTGGATTTCGATACCAGTGATCATCAATTTCACTGGCCTCGAATTCATTCGGCGTAAAGTAAACGTTCGTTTCAGGATTCACAGGCAAAGAAGAATGGGGCATATTATTGTAAAATCTGATGACCCGTGGAAGATCTGATTCTGACTTGCAGTTTCTTTCCACGTATGGCCACCATCTCTCAATCTTACCATTTGCCTGTGGATTGCCCGGTTGAATGAAAATATGCTCAATTCCACGTTCAACCAAAAGTTGATGAAATGAGCTTTTATTTTCAAGGCCGTTATCAGTCCAAATAGCGTATGGTGGTTGAGGTAGAGTACTTAATGCTCTTTTAAGAACTGCAGTTGTATTTTGAGCTGTTTTTTCGGTAAATAAATTAAAATCTATGATTTTTCGCGATCTGTCGTCTATTATCGCAAACAAATATTTGCCTATTCGTTTCCTCCAATAGTGGATATCAGCATGCCAAATTTGATGACATTTGGATGCTAGATAATTTCGAGGAATGTATTTTTGCTGATTTTCTTGATTTTGAGGGGGAGTATCTGCGATAATCGCTTCGTGTATTTTCCTGCCCATTCTATATAAGGGAGAATCGAAATTTTTTGTAATGTATGTTGCCGTTTGAAGAGATTCGCGTAATGGATTTATTTCAATAGGCGTACCTTCTATTGGAGTCACAACTGGAACTAAAGTTGTGCGGTCAACTTCATCGAGCCAGTTTCCAGACTCATAATTTATTTCTCCATTTTTTTGAATTTCTGATTGAATTTTTTGAAATTCTTCTGGATTCTTCTCAATATTGACAAGGTCTGTTTTCATTTTCTGAATAATTTTATTGATGCCTGCATCGGGCATTAAATCTTTCAAATTTGCATAAGCTTGGCAGGCATCAAGATTAATTTCTATTTGTTTTCTTCCTCTTTTTGGAATTAATTCCAAATTATTTTCTCTGACAAGCTTTTTGAACATGGTTTTGGATATTTCACGAAAGGTACCATTATTTAAACGGGCCTTTTTGCAAATATCCTTTAGCTTCATTCCAGAGTTAATTTGTTGAACCGATTCCTTTAGCCATTCGATGTCAACTAATTTTCTGGAGGTACGATGCCAGTGATATGGATCCATTTGAGTTTTGTAAAAGTTTACAAAAACTTCCATTCTGAAAAATAGTATGGATTTGATATAAAAAATAATATGTAATGGTGTAATATTGATTAAATAATAAAAATAAGTTTTTTTTAAAAAATAATTTTGGCGCCAAAAGTCACTTTTTCTAGCGACCCTTTTCGGTATGGTATATGAATTCACATTTTTTATTCCAACATCAGAAATCTTCGAAGAATACGATTCAGAGAGTAATCATACAATTTTTATTTGGATTGAAGACAGCTTCTTCAAAACATCATCAAACTACACTAAGACATCCGAATTTGTTTTCAATTCACCAATTGTTTCGGTTTCAACATATAATTTCAGCAGATTCCACAAGACAACAAACAAATTTATCAATATTGAGGGAAGTATCGAAGATTCGGACTGCACAGGTCATATCTCTATCTTTTACAAATTTGATGATTATCCATATTCAGAATTACATTCAGAATCCATGAACACAGAATGTATTATTTCATTTTCTAACGAAGTTGAATTTCCAACAGCATTTTCAGAATCTGTTCACAGTATCACAATTTATTGCTCAGATGAACACAACAAGAAATCAAACGAAGAACATATTTATTTTTATTATGAATACAATTCACCCGAACTCACAATCAACACATTCGAGAACGGTCCATATCATCGATGTTTGAACAAGAGTATTCATCTTGAAGGTCAGATTGTAGATCTTGATGGCACAGGTCTTGTCACTATTCGATGTTACATTGACAACGACATCATTGACACTAAAACTATTGAAATTTTAAATATTAATGAACATCCATTTTCCTTTGATCTAGAATTTCCATCAGAACTGACTGAATCATTACATCATCTTATAGTAACAGCAACTGATGAATCAAATAAAACATCTACTCCTTTTCGATCAGCTTTTCAATATTTTTATAATTCACCATTATTATCAATAACAACAAGAAATAATCAGACATTTGTCAAAGATGTCAATAAGAAGCTTTATATTGATGGTTTTGTTCAAGATTCAGATGAGCGAGGAACATTTACAATCAAATACAAACTTGATGAAGAAACATTTAATGATTTAACAACATTTTATATTTATGATAATAATCAACGTCCATTCACCGAATCAATTGGAATTGATTCTATTTCATGTGGATTTCATTCAATTTATCTTTATGTTGTTGATGATGATAATAAAACATCATCACATCAACCATTAACATTTTTTGTTATTCCTAACAGTCTGAAAGACAACAAACACAAGAACATCCTTTCGATTCCTAAAACAATTTATGCATTAACATTAACTATTTCAAAATCTTCTAAATAAAATCCCTGCTATTTTTTGTAATATTTAGCTGAAATCATGTTAAAACATCTGAATAATACGCTCATTTATTATGGTTATCAAATGTAATTCTATTGCATTTATTTCAATTTATTTATGATTATCAAAATATTTGCTTTTTCTTTCACAGGTAAAAAATCCATCAACTATATTAAATCAATGCCTCATCAAATCCATCAACATGATATTTAATTTTATTAATATTTAGATCCCAAATCAGCTTGTTAACATAGTTTGTTTTCACTTATCTATGTTAAAATTATTAATTATACTATAAAATCATATTTATTTAAATATTTTTTTTATTAATATTTTATCAAATTGAAAGAACTCACATGATTTGAAGTGGAAAAATTACCCTTCTAATCAAATATTTTCCATATTATGTGTTTCCTCTTATGGTTAGTCAATGTTCGTTTTAAAATTTTATTGATTCCCTCAATTTTCGATTCTTATAAAATATTCAATGAGCCCATTGTAAATTTTACGGTTTGTTTTGCAAGAATTTAGATTCTACCTAAATACATCAAAACATATCTGACATTCAGATTTGCCTCAATTTTTTCATAAGAGATCCGCTGTCAGACAGATTGTCATTTGCCATTATTATGGGTATCATCCTCAACAAGCAACTTATGTATGCCGGAGTTGCATTTCTTGGCACCGTAGTCACTCATACTGCAGCGACAATGTAGAAAAGTATACTTGCTAGCAAAATCATTGAAGTAAATTACAGTACTTACTACTATTTTCCAATAGTATTCCTCGTTGAAATAATAGCAATTGTATTGTCCATTTGGATGTACAAAAAACTTGGAACTAGAATCAATTCAATAATAAACGGTATTTTAATCGCAATTGGTTTAATTATTGCGACATTCAATGCAGCCAACACTTCATATCTCGTTTATATTACTGGAACATTCATTGGTGTTGGATATATTATGTGTAATTTGATGAATCCATTATATATTTCTCATATTTCAATGTCAAATACAAGAAATTCATATGGAATATTCCATTTTATTGGTTTAGTAATTGGATCCATAAGTGGTTTTCGTATTGCAATATCTCCACATTGGAAAATTTTCTCATACGTTTATGCAGCCATCTCAATCATACAATCCATTCTTACTATCTTCATTCCTAACATGACTCCCGAAACTTCCGAAGAATTACAAGCTCCAAGAAACGTTAAACTTTGGTTCCATACAGCTGCATTAACGTTACTTCCATTTTTGTCTGGATTAAATGCAGTACCTAGGTACTGTGCTCCAATAGTACATGATCATTCAGTTGTTGATCAGGTTAACATAGTTAACATTGTTTTTTATGTATTAACGTTGATAACAATTATAACAATCATATTTACGATTTATTTCTTTGGATTAAGGAAGCATTGGATAGTTTCCTCTATTTTTGTATTAGTTTTCTTAATAATTGTTACAATATTAAATTTCATGAACAAATCTAACATATTTAGATTTATAATGGGAGATCTTTTTAATATAAGTATGAACTTGGGTTTAAGCAGCGTTGGCCTCTCTCTTATTTGTCAATTTTCAG